GCTCCTGGGTTGAATTGATAGTTAAGATTAAGACATATTCAGATATTCTGCAGATATCTGAATATGTCTTAATCTCTGCAATTAAAAAAACACCCTAGTCTTATTAGATGACACAACCTTGATGGCAGAAAGTGAGGAGGAATTAAAGAACCTTTTAATGAGGGTGAAAGAGGAGAGCACAAAATATGGTCTGAAGTTCAACATCAAAAAAACGAAGATCATGGCCACTGGTCTCATCACCTCCTGGCAAATAGAAGGGGAAGAAATGGAGGCAGTGAGAGATTTTACTTTCTTGGGCTCCATGATCACTGCAGATGATGACAGCAGCCATGAAATTAAAAGACGCCTCCTTCTTGGGAGAAGGGCAATGACAGGCCTAGACAGCATCTTGAGAAGTAGAGACGTCACCTTGCCAACAAAGGTCCGTATAGTTAAAGTCATGGTTTTCCCAGTAGTGATGTATGGAAGTGAGAGCTGGACCATAAAGAAGGCTGATCGCTGAAGAATTGATGCTTTTGAATTATGGTGCTGGAGAAGACTCTTGAGAGTCCCATGGACTGCAAGAAGATCAAATGCATCCATTCTTACGGAAATCAGCCCTGAGTGCTCACTGGAAGGACAGATCATGAAGCTGAGGCTCCAGTACTTTGGCCACCTCAGGAGAAGAGAAGACTCCCTGGAGAAGACACTGATGCTGGGAAAGATGGAGGGCACAAGGAGAAGGGGGCAACAGAGGACGAGATGGTTGGACAGTGTTCTCGAAGCTACCAGCATGAGTTTGACCAAACTGCGGGAGGTAGTGGAGGACAGAGGTGCCTGGCGTGCTCTGGTCCATGGGGTCACAAAGAGTCGGACACGACTAAACGACTAAACAACAGTCTTATTGTTCCTCAAACAAACTAATTCAAATAAAGAAATGTTGAGGCAAGCTGAGCTATCCATGAGCAAACTTACCAAATGTGGATTCTAAAATCAAAATCTGATCTCAGATTTCCAGGTGTTATTTTTTATGTGTACAAAAATACCTTCTGCTTTGGATCTGTTTTTAAAGGAAATGCTGGATGCAAACTGTCTCATTGTCCTCCCTCCACTATTCAAGAGTGGCTAGCGATGCAAAAATGTGCAGGGCAAGGTGCTTGTAGGTTATGATTCATTACTAACTGGTTTGCTTATTTAAGGAAAGATTAATATTGTATATTGCTCAGTTCTTCTTATTCCTTTCTGTAGAGGGAGCAATATCCAATCACTGCTCATTAGCAAGCTCTGCTGCCCAGTTCTCTTGCATGGCCTGATACTTTAAAAGAAAAAGAAGTACAGGTATTTCAAATTGAAAGATTTGTGTGTCTACAGCTGTGCGTCAAAATATTTTATATCAATATTGATTTATTTATTTTCAAGGGGGGTTGTTATAAAGAGGGTGCTTTTATCCCCCTGAGCTCTTGGGCAATTATCTCAGTGCCATAAATGTTGATACGCACATAATGGATGTAACTAAAAAATCTCCTTATCCAAGCAGAAAATGCTGGGTGTTTGTTGGAGCAGATAGAATGCTGAGAGTGTGAATAGACAAACCCATATGTTGTTGGTGAAAGAGATAAATGATGGACGAACAAGAGTTGGTTACTATGGATCAGCAGAGTACAACCATTTCCTGTCATTCCCATCTCTTAAAAATATACCTGCTTCAATGCTATTGATGGGTAATCCAGTTGCACCAGGTGACTGCAAGCCCACACACCCTTGTTTTTCTGTTCTTTGTTTATCATGGTTCTTGGGACCCAGGCTGCAGGGAAGGTCTCCTGCACAATCTCAGTTTTCCATAAAGAGAATATTAGTTGCAATGGAGCATGCACAATCCTGGTAATCTTATGTCCTTGAGAATCTTAAAATATTTCAGATAATTGATCCAAATGAGGCAGGCAGCCTAGTTGTTTCTGAATGTGTGGATGGTGCTGTAGTATTGTTTATTTATTTATCTATCCATCCACCTGTTTTTCTTTTTATTTATTACCTTTAAGTCCCAGGGTGGATTGCAGCATGGAAACAACAATTTTAAAAAGCAATTTGAAACAACTTACAATCACAAAAAGTGTCAAAAGTCAGAGCCAATAGGAATGGCTTCAGCATTCTCCCACAAGCTATATAATGAAGGTGCCAGACATACCTCTGTGAGAAGGGGGTTCCACATTTCAGGAGTCCACACCTGAGCCTCTGAGCATAGACCAAGGGGGCTGCCTCTGCTGATTTGCAGCAGGGCAAGAAAAGAGAGAACAGACATGGGCCAGGAAAGTGTGAACCTTATGGGGCGTAAGGTGAGTGTGAATGAGCACTCTTAAAGACATTTCCACTTCTTTCTCATGCAAGAGGGAAGTTTGCCAAGTCCTCTTCAAGGACAGCCCCACGTAGACCGCATTGCAGTAATCCAGTCTGGAAGTTGCCAGAGCATGGAGTACAGGGGCCAAGCCTGAAAAGAAAAATCACTTAAAGCAAGATATACTGGTACTGGGGTGGTGCTCTGGACTGGCAACCGTTTTATTGCTTGACCTATGGCCCTCGAGATGTTGTTTGACTCTGACTCCCATCAGCCACAGCCAAGCAGGGCCAGTGATTGGGGATTGGGCAGTAGTCCATCAGCACCTGAAGGATCAAGTTAGCCACCTGTGCTTTATTGTGATAGGAATTTCAGATTGGAGGATTCCAAAAAAGTATTAATTTGTATGTAACAATTACTGGTTTTCACTGCTTTTTCATGACACCTAAAACAGAACGAAGGCCAGAACTATCAATTTCCTATATGGTAGTTTGGAGGTAGCTTGTGTTTTTCTTTAGGGAGAGGGAGTGGTCTTAAGGTATGTGTGTTTTTTCTTCTTAAGTCACTAATTTGTCTCAGATTTCAACAGCTTGCTTTTTTATGCAGGTGTGTCTGTTCTTATCTGAAGGATTTTTATCCTTCTCTTAAGCAACAATGGGGCTCCCAGAGCTGGTTGCAAATGCTGGTGATAAGATGGTCCCTGCCCTCTGGGCTTACGAACCAAAATAGAGACACACAAAAGGAAAAAGGGATTGGGAGGGAGGAGGGAGGGAGAATCAAGCTGGGGAAGCACTGGTCCTTGTAATGCCCAGCTGGACAAGGAGGAGACGCCCTGCAACCCCATCTCTGCAGCAGCCTGATGGGGATGGCCATGGGAATCAAATGAATTGGCCTGCAGTTTGGCAAGTTCTCTTGGAACAGAGCTGCATATGCTTACTGAGGTTGGGAAGAAGAAAAGGAGTCATGGAAGGCCTGATTAATCCACACTGCCTGTCTGGTCAGGCCTGCCTGCCTGGTCCCTCTGGCCATGGTTAAAGGAACACCCTACTCCTGTTCTAGACTGTCCCTTAATGCCTTCACTCTAAATAGTGTGGTGCAGTGGTTAGAGGGTTGGATTGTGACCTGGGAGAGACTAGGGTTCGAATCCCCACTCAGCTAGGAAGCTCACTGGGGGACCTTGGGCCAGTCACAACCACCATCTCTTTAGCCTAAACTACACCACTGGGTTGCTGTGAGGATGAAATGGGGAGGAGAACCATATGCACCACGTTGACATCTTTGCAAGTTAAAGGTGGTATAGAAATGCAATCAATCAATCAATCAATCAATCAATAGCCTGTTAGTGCTGCATGTATCATGCCCCAAGACTACAGGCAGGCTCATGCTGGCGGGGGAGGGGGACGGCAACCGGGTACACTCAGTCAGGGCCTCGGAGGGCTAAGCTGGCCAGGGGTGGGGCACCAAGGGCCTGCTGGACTTATGCTGTCATGCCAAGAACAAGACTCTGGTCACAGACCTCGGACATGCTCTGCACAAGCCTGTCTTTAGTTCTGCACTGGGTATTGCCAATGCAATGCACGCACAAATTAGTAGTGAATTATCCATATACAGTGGTACCTTGGGATGCAAACGGGATCTGTTCCGGAGCCCTGTTTGCATCCCGAACGGAACGCAAGACGTGTCTGCACGTGCGCGGGTCATGATTCACGGCTTCCGTGCATGCGCGTGACGTCATTTTAACCGTCTGGGCATGCGTGAGCGGTGAAACCCGGAAGTAACGTGCTCTGTTACTTCCGGGTCGCCGCGGAGCATAACCCGAAAGCGCTCAACCTGAAGCATATTTATCCCAAGGTCTGACTGTACTACTGGTGTGTCGCTTTGCTCTGGACCAGGCTACCAATTTGCATTTGTTGAACCACAGTTTGGATTTCTCCTTGCAAGATCCTCAACTTTTATGAGGCTTTTGCTTTCAGTGCTGGCCTGGCAGAGCGTGCTGGGAATGTCTGTATTTTTTAGCATGCTAGGCAGGCAGAAATGCACCACAATATCTTTTGCAACTCTGCACTGATCCCAGAGTGCGACTTTGCATTGTGCTAGTCACAGTCTGGAACTTGGGCCCCATCATCTTATCCTGTACTGCCATAGGATCTTGGGACATTTGGTTGGGGCAGCAAAATGCACCAGGCCAGCCCTCCTTTGTCAAGTAATATCACAGCCACTGCTGCTGCTGCTGAAGTAAGCATCGGAGAGCTTGACTCTGCATGCTGCTTTGATGTTCCAGTACTGTGGAACTGGATTGGCAGATCAGCATTTTTGAAGGTGTGGGGTGGGTGTGGGGAAGGCAAAACTGCAAAACTGCTTTCCCTTCCCCTGTGGAGATTCACAGAGCTCTGGAACAAAGGCAGAAAGAGTTAGTTTACATAGTGTGCTAAGTCAAAACTAGTGCGTCCCTTTAACTAGGACTCTGGGATAAAGCTCTCTCAACACTAAGCATGAGCTGTTGCCAAGGTTTGTTTGACTTCCTAATTAAGATGGCATGCTAAGCCCAACCTTGGCTTAGCTCAGCGAGGCCCCGGCAGCAAAAGGGTATGAGAGCCCATTCATTGGCACGGCCTCACTAAACTAAGGTTTGTGTTGTGGTTGTGGTTGTTATCATAAACAACACTCATATATCACCTTTACCTTCCAGTGGTCTCAAGACGATGTACATGGTTCTCCTCCTCCACATTCATCCTCTCAACAAACCTGTGAGGTAAGAGATGGTGACTGGCCCTGTTGCCCTTGCCATCATGGTGGCAGCACGGGCACAATTACAAGTGAAGGGTACATTTGTGACAGGACTGGCAGCACTGTGGGTGTGACAATGGGGGCAGTGCATGGGGGGCTGGAGTTATGGGGCAAGGGCAGTGTCTGGGTGTTTTGCCAACAGCGACAAAATTTCTTGGACTAGCCAGGCCTAAACTCAGCCTAGACTGGGAAACTGCAGCTTGCCCAAAGTCAGGAAAAAACCTCCGCTGCTGAAGAGGGTTTTGAACCAACTCTCTGGCTACTGGCCAGTCCTACTGAGGCACTTGAGCTGCTGACATGGTTGTTCTGTGGAGGGAGAGCCCTGGGGCCCTGGTGTGGTTCTCTCCCACGAGTGCATGCAATCCCTGTGATTATCTCAAAAGTGGCTTGCAGAGGTAATAATCAAATTTGCACAGCCCCAAGTCAAGCCACAGCGGTTAGGCTAGTGAAGAATGTTCTGCACGTTTACTTAACAAGCTGCCTGGGCTCTCATATTTCATCAACAAATAGACTTCTGTCACCAATCAGTGATAAATCTGGTACTTCCGAGGGTTCATTTCAAGCCCTTGCTGTTCTCTTTGCCAGCTTGTACCATGTGAAAGGCTTGGCAGCCTTACTGATAAAGTGGTATTTATCCAAACGCTTCCTTGGGCATATCCTGGAGTGTTAATGATTTGGTGATCTGATATTTCAGCAGTATGCAGAATCATAAATGGATGCTGCAATGTCAGAGGTATCTCTCTCTCTCTCCCTCTCCCTCTCTCCTTTCTCCTTGGAATTTTCTTTAAACAAAAAACAAAAAACTACTTGCTGACTTTGCCTCTGCCATTCTTTGCACTCTTCTGTTTGAAAAGAGACAGCTGGAGGTTCAGTCTGTTGCAGCCATGATAGGGATTACCTCTGCAGGGGGAGGGGGCATTGAGGTGGACACAGTAGGAAAGCTATAATCACTGCTGAAGTCTAGATTTGTATGTTTTCAGAGGTGGTGGTATGCAACAGAAGTGAGCCAAGCGAGAGGAGAATGATTGGTTCTGGTTCTGGTTCATGGTGCTTCTGTGACTCCTATGCAAGCATAATTTTAACCATGGTTTGTTTTTCCTAAACTACGGTTGAATATTATGTCTGACAACACCTGATACATGTTCTAGGCAGTTTCCCTGTCTTCCCAGCTCTCTGCTTGCAAAGCAACAAGCCACTTTTGTGGGTGCCTTCCTCTATATTAGTGGGGTAGGAGAGCTGAAAAATATGTCACATCCGGCAACCAATGTGCCCCTTTGGTTTCAGAGAGTATGTGGGTAGCAGTCTAAAAATTTTCATAGCCCTCCAGTGGCCATGGTGGCTCATTTACCAGAAGTAATGTATTTAGCATTAACTGGAAGTGTATACTCAATTCTGACCAAACTAAGCCACCTAGAGCAAAATATAAATCCCGGGGGCTTAGTTTGGTCAGAATCAAGTACTGCATTTTTCGCTCTATAGGACGCACCTGACCATAGGACGCACCTTGTTTTAGAGGGGGAAAACACGAGAAAAAAAATTCTTTCCCTCTCTGCTCAGCGCCCCTTCAGCGAAGCGGCAGGAGAAACGGAGCCCCTTCTATTTCTCCTCCCGCTTTGCTGAAGGGGCTTTGCTGAAGCCCAGAGAGTCTTGCTCTCCCGGCTTCAGCAAAAGGAACCCAAAGCCTGCGGAGCGCAGTGGGAACTCGTGCTGCGCTCCGAAGGCTTCAGGCGACTATCCTTGAAGCCTGGAGAGCGAGAGGGGTCGGTTCGCATCGACCCCTCTCGCTTTCCAGGCTTCAGCGAAAGCAACGCGAAGCCTCCGGAGCGCGGAGGGAGCGCTCCCTCTGCGCTTCTGAGGCTTTGCGTTGCTATCGCTGAAGCCAAGGAGCCTGCATTCGCTCCATAGGACGCACACACATTTCCCCTTAATTTTTGGAGGGGAAAAAGTGTGTCCTATAGAGTGAAAAATACGGTATATAGTTCCAGAGGTAACACTAAATACATTACTTCTGGTAAATGATCCATCACAGCCACTAAAGGGCCATGAGCTTTTTAGACTCATCTACCCATGTACTATCTGAAACCAAAGGGGAGCATTGGGGGCCAGCCAGGAGAAAAGAATAAACATGTGTAGAGAATAATGTGGACACCTTCTGCTTTTCAGCACATACTGCCGCAATTAGCTGAAAAGCAGAAGGTGGTCCACATTATTCTCTACACATGTTTATTCTTCTCTCCTGGCTGCCCCCCACCCTACACAGACACACATCTTCAGAGGATAAAAATATAAGACGCTTTCTTTTAGTAAATCAGACTTATTTTCTTAAGCCTGCTGAATCAGGCCAGTGCCCCATCTACCATCTAGTCCAGGATCCTGTTCTCACAGTGGCCAACCAAATGCTTATGAGAAGCCTTGCAAGCTGGACATTAGACATGGCCCTGTTCTGGAGTATCTTCTTTTAACTGGAACTGCCAGGCAATGCCAGGAGTTCATGCATGCTTCCACTGCCCTTCTCTTACCATTTTTTGACACACACAAAATGCTCATTGTGTTCCAAGCTTAGCTTTAGCCAATCCCACCTGTTGCAGTTCACCTACCTTTATTGGAGACAATTTGTCTTACACAGACACACCCACCAAATTTGAGCAGGTAGTGCCAAATCGAACCTCATGTTACCTCTGCCCTTGATCATCCAGTTTAGCGAGTAATTATAAGGTAATGTCAGTCTATCAATAAGAATTAGCTTAATACCAACAGCTGCCAAATGAATTAAGTTGATGAGAGAGAGAGAGAGAGAGAGAGAGAGAGAGAGAGAGAGAGAGAGACTACACTGGAACTCATAGGCTCTTACTAACTGCTTTACTTAAGCTTTTATAATGAGTAGCTAACCTGTGGCTCTATAGATGATGCTGGACTACAGCTCCCTGACCATTGGTGAAAGCTAATAGAGTTTGTAATCCCAACACCTCATAGAATCTCATCGAAGGGACCCTGAGGGTCATCTAGTCCAACCCCTGCAATGCAGGAATATGCAGCTGGATTGAACCTGCAACCTTATTGAGTGTCCGTGTGTGTGTGTGTGTGTGTGTGTGTGTGTGTGTGAGAGAGAGAGAGAGAGAGAGAGAGAGAGAGAGAGAGAGAGATCTGCCTTATTTTTCCAAACTTAGTTCTGGTGGAGGGTTTTCTAATAACTAAACATGTTACATGTTCAAACAAAGCATGCACTTCTTGGAAATCATGTCCTCCCTTAAAGAGGGCACATGCTGCAGTGAGACCTGGAAACCGATCCCCTGTGTTGTGGGTGAGTAAGATTGGTCAGCCACAACACCCGATTGGTAGGTCCCTCGATGCTGGGTTTAATCTGGCCAATGGGGTGCAGTCCAAATGGATCGAGGGACCTATATATGCCCATGCACGTGACCCAGAGCTTCCTCTTTCAGCGCGTGCATTCGGAACACCCACCCTCCTCTCCCTACAATTAGGGCATTTTGCGCTTGACCTTGCTATGCCGTCGTGTGTCGTCTGTCGTTGGGGCAGGGGCATGGCAGGAATTTTCCCCACTTGGCTGATTGGCTGTTGCCATTTGGGTTTCGCCTGCCGCATAGCAAATCATCACAACTTGTAAGGTTGCGGATAGGCTCTGGTTCAAGTGATAGGGATGGGAGAACGCTCTCGCCATCCCTATGTGAAGTGTATTCCATTTAAGGAATCCAGGGACTCAAATGGTTTGGTCAGCCCCCGAGAGGGGGTTGTGCCCATGCCTGAGTCCAGGGGGACATACAGGTGGCGGAGATAGCCCGTTCCCGATTTTTCACTTATCCAGGTGTTCACCCTTGGCTGACCTATGCTAGAACCCTGGGTCAGCGCTACCTGCATGGCAGGGAGCTAGTCGAACTGGAGCCTATGCAACCACTCACTTTCTGTTATCAATAAAGTTGTGGCCTAAATTCTGCTAAAAACCAAAACTAAAATTTGAATCAAGTGTGAATTTATATAGGGGGGAGGTTTCTGGGTCTGAACATGCAAACATTGCAACAAATCCCGTATACTTCAGGAAAGGAGATACTGTACATTACTACATAGTGGAATCTCAGTTGTTGAACATAATCCATTCCGGAAGACCGTTCGACTTCTGAAACGTTCTACAACTGAGGTGCAATTGCTGGTCGGCAAAATCCATTGAAAAAAAATGGAGAAATGTACCTCGGAAGCTGTCCGACTTCCAAGGCACGTTCGAAAATGGAAGCATTCACTTCCAGGTTGTCGGCGTTCAACTGCATTACAATTTGTAAAAAGACAGCTGTGTAATTGTATTGCCTACTTTAAACTGACCAGTAGTGGCTCTCTGGGAATCTTTCCCCACCCTAATGTGTGTCACACCCCCAGTGTTAGAAATTAGCCAGGCACCAGGCGCATTTTGCACGTTGCTTCTGACCACTTTTGACTAAGTGAAGATGACTTGGTGCCAGGATGGCGCTTGGCATCTCCACCATCGGGAGGTGCATGCCTGGGGATCCTTGGATCTGGACTGTTTTCACACACTAGTACCCCATCCTGTAGAATTCTATCAGTTATAGTTTATCTGCACAATTGGAATGAATTTCTGGAAGCAAAATGCTTTTTCTTACAGCATGTATAAAATATAGTAAAAAGAGGTCGGAATAGGCCAATATATATGTGGACTGTCCCTGGATCAAGTGACTTTTCTTCTTTAAGTTCTCAAACTTCTTAACTTAGTACAAGGTTGCCACCTGAACTGGCCAGATGTTTAACTGGTAATCAATCACAGTCAGTCCCATCATTTGAAAAATAATACTTTGGAGCCGTCTTGCCCCAAAATGGCAACTAGACATTCCGTAACCTTAGTTTAAAGAGTCATTTGGCACCTAGTTTATATACTGTATCTGAGTTTCTAACGCCACGGATGTGTAATCTGTGATGTGTAATCAAGCTCTCGTTGGAGGA